ACCAATAAAGCTGGACATCCTAAAAATAAAACTAGGACCCGAAACATTGGACAGCCCCAAATATAAAAAACATAATACCTGTGTACGCTAACAAACTAATGTGTATAATTTTATGCATTTAAACTATTTCTCTAACAGATCAGCTCGCATGAAATGCTCTTGTATATTTTGTCTTTAGTAGTTTTGAAACCAAGAAACTAAATATCCCCCAAGTGATCTATCTACCCATGGTTTTCAATACCCCCAAGCCCACTACTCCTGAGATCTGAATGTCCAGTGACCTATTATTATAATTAAACCAGCTACATTTATAATCCAGTCGACCATATAACTATAACTAACATTACACTCTAGAACATTGGTCATTGCTTGGTCAATGCATGCCTGACCACAATTTTACTACCTTTCAAACCTCCCACCTCCCCCACCCCCACTCCCTTTACAGAACTTGCATTCAACACTTTATAGAAAGAAAAAAAAAAACATCGACCCATCAGACTCCCATAACCCATAACAGCCGTTAAAAATATTCTCAGTTACGTCAAGGGAGGTAAGGAAAATAATAACCGTTTGTGGAAGGAAGTAACTCGTCATAAAATTTCTGCTTGTGTAAGGGGAGAGAATCGATTCAGAGAAAAAAAATAACATACCAAAACGGCGAAAACTATTAAAGGGAAACAACCTATTAATATTGAGTAGTGCACTAGGCAAAGCAAATGATAAAACGTATAGAGGTATCTTATTTCAAACAAATAGCTGACTTTCTAACCTCGTAAAAAAATGATCGGGGTATTTCTATTTCAAACTGTACGTAGAATAATTCTATCTTTGTTGCCGGGTGTCGTTTTTCTAGAGCGTCTAGTGCCATTTAGAAATGTCACCTGGTAGGCGGTTCATATTCGTTTTTTTATGACGGGTTAAAATAGTTGGGTAAAGTTAACTCACTTCGTATTTAACACAGGATTTAACATGTCTTTTATAAGATAATTGAAAATATTCCATTCATTATATCTCGCGGGGAAGTTGGAAGATAGTTAACAGATGGATATGGATGAACAATGTTTAAATTCGTTGAGCAGGAGTGGGGTGTGTGGGTCCATTGAAGGAGGTTTTGAATGGGGTATGTGGTGTCCACAGAATGGGGTATGTGGTGTCCACAGAATGGGGTATGTGGTGTCCACTGAATGGGGTATGTGGTGTCCACAGAATGGGGTATGTGGTGTCCACAGAATGGGGTATGTGGTGTCCACTGAATGGGGTATGTGGTGTCCACTGAATGGGGTATGTGGTGTCCACTGAATGAGGTTTTTAGAGAGACCGCGGGGAATGCTGGGTCAGGAATGCTTTACGACTGACGGGTGTTTGACCTCCCACCCCCCACCCTCTTCCCTCATCACTTCTACCTCCCCAACCCACCAACATATCTAAATCCACTAGTAACATCTTTTTTTTATGTTTGTTTTATTTTTGTTTTTTATCTGCCGCCCCACCTCCATCTACCCCCCCCCCCACATTCCTTCCTACACACACACGCACCTATAATGCTAGGTCACGCACATTTATATATATATATTTTTTAAACGATTCAAACTCTAATTTGTTCATATCTAGCAAAGATTCGATGATATCACAGATTGTGTGTCTATTCTTTAAGTAAAGCTATTACACGACTAAATCCTAAGCTGCCTAGCCATATCTGCCACCCCTTCAAATGAGTTACGGTTCCTGAAAGTTAAATGTATATATATATATATATATATATATATATATATATATATATATATATATATATATAAATCAATATACATACAATAATTACATAGGTCGTATATATCGGGTTTGAAACTTGTAGTATTTAAAAGCAACAACACTAATAATAATAATAATAATAAAATATTGTAAGCGACATGTGAATTAAAAAACATGAACCAGAGCTAGAAGCAACAAAATAAAACATGAAATAATTGAACGCAGAAACTAGACAGGCTGTCCATAAATGACGTCATGTCAATAAATGACGTCACGCTGTATGATATGGGAGGGTATCACTTTAGTAAGCGGGGAAAGGTGTGAGATGGCATACCATTTGTGTTGTTTACACGTCATAGTAATTTTTTGAGGGGTGGGAGAGGGAGGGGTGATTAAATTTGAATCGGGTGTTGGTGATATTTACGTGACGTCATTTATAAACAACCCACGACACACAGAAAAATATATATAACCATTTTCTCTCCTAGTCTGTGGCGGTCATTAAAACCCAACTGGCACAATAGCGGATGTCACGGACGAGTTTAGAAAAAATAAATATAGTATTGAAACTGTACACAGAGGAATCATTAGGGTGGGCATTAATAGAAGATAATGCGAGGCTTGTATTTGTCTATACCAGTAGTTAAACTCTGAAAGCTAACCCAATATTCCAAGAAATTAAGCTAATAAATATCCCCATCTGTATTTTTATATAATGCATCATATATATATATATATATATATATATATATATATATATATATATATATATATGTTTGTTACCCTGATTTTCTCAAATGTTAATGGCTTATTCTGAGCACTTCTTTAGCAAACTGAGATTTGAAATATAATTTTATGGGTTTCTAATGACGTACATCGCCTTACATGAACATTATAATATTATGTCTTATGGCTGAGCATATTATTAGAACGGCTGCGCATTTGTCTGTTTTCGGACACTCTGCGCATGCCAAGTGACTGGTTGTATTACAGTCGTCTGCGCATGCCATCGGCGACTGCGCATGCGCTGAAACCCAAGTGTAGGCGCTCTCGTGTGTACAAAAACAGTGTCGTTTAGCAGATATTTTTAATTATAAAAATAACATTTAGCTTTTGCTGGACCGAACCAATTAGCCTACGTAGTGTCATCTATTAATAACTTTAAATAAATAACGATGAAAATAATGTAACTGTAGCCCTCGATTGCAAAAAAAAAAAAAAAAAAAAAAAAAATAGCAAAAAGTTGAATAAAAGTGGTAAATACTGACTGAGAAACGTGTTATTTGTGTTGGTATATATTATTATACATGGAAAGATAACGAGAATATACAAGACTTTGGGAATGTAGAGGGGGGTAGATTGTATCCACTGGTTCGTTCCAGGGATATGTCACACATGAGTTTTTATACAAGATTGTCAAGCAGGTGGGGGGGGGTGCTGAATGATGCGTCACAGCCATGAGAGGTGGGTGGTATCGTGACGTAGAAGGTTGGGGTTTTGACGTCACGGATAATAGGAGTCTGGCATGTGATGTCACAGATTTTTGTACGCGTGACGTCAAAGACTGTCAAGTCTGGGTTTACGCGTCATGAGATTGTAAAAGTGTGGAAAAATGTTGACGTCAGAGGTATTGAGGAGTCAGGAATGTGACGTCACAGGCATGTTACTCTGAATTCTGACGTCAGAATCAATGACGCTGGAAGTGTGTCATCTCTAAACGAGATCAAATAAGGGTGGGGTGAGGGTTGGTAGAAGGGTTGGGGGGTGGCGGGTAGAAGGGTGGGGGGGAGGTCATTGACAGCCCAGGTAGTGGTGCATAAAGTAGTGTGTGACAGGTCATGTCATGTCATGTTAACCGAGCCGTCATGTCATCTCCACAGGTGAGGTGTCTGTCACCAGACAGGTCGACAGTGACAGACTGGCACCGCTCTGCAGACCTGTTTGTCAGTCAGACTGACATGTGTCTCATTTAAATGAGAATTTAATTTCAGCGAGTAAACAGTGGGTGGGGTAGAGAGTATGGGATGGGGGTCGCGTCAGATACTGAAAGAAATTGAGCTGCGATGGGTAAGAAGAACAAAAACAACAAGACGAGCACTCGTCAAAATGTCACCTCATCAGCCTACAAGATGTCACAATCCTATAATATAAGACGGACAATGCTCGGGTCTATCAAAGAAAAAAATCGAATTATCTCCCTTGTGCTTTGTTTTTGAACAAAAATACGATGCGACAGTTGGGGAAAAGGTGGTGGCGTGTTTTTAATGGGGTTAAAATGTGATGGAAAAATCAATTATTTTTCCTGTTTTAATTAACAATTAGTTTTAAAAACACAAGTTATCGTGTTTTGTTGAGATGATAATGATTTGAAGAAATTACCCGTTTACCTTGGTTAGAGAAAAATAAAAACGCTTTCAAAATAAGTTTTTTTTTTTTTTGGAGTACATTTTTTAAAGTTGTTTACAGCATCAATGTGCTGAGTGACACATGTGATATCGAATGTCATCGACCAGATCCTTAATACTGTACACCATCTACAAGTTTACCCTATGTAAATGTCTTTTTTTTTCTTATTTCGTCATGGCTTAAAATATATATACAAAAGATGTGGGGGGGGGGGGGTCCCAGTAACAACACATTCAAGAGCGATCACTCTTTGATACTGTTGACAATATTCAAGGGCGATCACTCTTTGATCATTTGTTGACTATACTCAAAGTGCGATAATTCGATGATACCCATGTTGTATATGTCCGAGGGGCAAATACTCGATAAACATGACGCTGTAAATATTTCAAGGGCACTCTCTCTCTGATCTTCGTGTTCAATAGATGCAAGGGCGATCACTCCAAGATCATCGCGCTGATTATGATCAGGGGCAATCACTTGTGCTGTATCTGTTGAGGGACAATCGCTCGATGATCACCGTGTTGTGTTTACTCATGTTCCATCACTATATCGTCATCGTGTTGAATATGATCAGGGGCAATCACTATATGTTTGTGTTTAATATGTTCAGGCGCGATCACTCGATGATCATCACGTTGAGTATGTTCAGGGGCAATCACTCGATGATCATCGTGGTGAATATGATCAGGGGTGATCACTCTCAGATCAGTGTGTTGAGTATGTTCAGGGGCGATCGTTCGATAATCATCGTGTTGAATATGTTCAGGGGCGATCACTCGATGATCATCGTATTTAATATGTTCAGGGGCGATCACTCTCAGATGATTGTGTTGAATATGTCCAGGGGCGATCACTCGATGATCATCGTGTTGGGCATGTTGTCCTTGAGGTACCGGCACAGAGCTGAGTTGGCACCTGGGCAGTTGGTCACCTCCAGTTCCTCTAATCTCTGCAGATGACGTAATCCGTAGAGTCCGTTACTGGTCAGTCTACGACAGCCTGGAAATGTTTAAAAAGTAAAGAGAAAAAAAATGTATATTTGGACCAGACTCACCAAACAAAACAAAATCATATTTCAATTTTGCTCCATCGTGTTTTGAGACAACGAGTTAAACTTATTTCAAGGGAGCACTTTCACGCATACAATGGTTTAATTAACTAAAATATGTATGATAAACCTGTTTGTATGTCCACCCTCTAACTAAATCAGTGAGCCCTTCTCTGAGGCAATGTTAAAATAATCATAGAGAAATTATGGCGCAGACCAAAGTGGGCATGTAAACACATACACACACTGATACACAGACACGCACATACACAGACGTACACAGATACACATACACACATACATACCAGCTATAGACAGGACCCTGAGAAAATATAGCGCAGGTCAAATTGAGACCATACATATATGTAACTAGGGTAGGCCTAGCCACTAGTTACAAATCTGATGCAACTGATAACGAACGATAAGCCGAGACGCAGTATTACAGTCTGATGCAACTGATAGCAGGTGGCTTATTAGATCGGACTGATAACAATCTCAAAGCCAACGCGTGCTATTTTGGGAAACGGTACGAGGGGATGCAGACGGCCTGTCAACTTTGATTGATAGGATGCAGATGTTTATTAAACGGACTGTACGTTAGAACTGCGCAACTAGTAGTCGGAGACATCGAGTACAAGTATCGATTACGGAGGAATACAAGTACGAATACGAGTACGAATACAAGGGATAAATAGGAGGGGACGGCTGAACTCGCGGCTCTTCCCTTTTCGATCGCCCGCTCTCTTCATCGCTCGCTTTAGATCAGTCAGTCTGTGTGACATATCAAGTTGGTTATATTGTGTTAAGAAGGACAATAGACATGTGGATTCAGTTATATGAAGCCTAGTGAGGACTGTTAGGGGTCAGTTGATTCAGACTATTATTGTGAAGCATTCCTGTTGATTCATTGTGTTATTTTGAAGCATTTCTTGATTCATGTAATAAAAGGATCAATAGCGAACCTGCATCTTCGAGTATTTCTACTGTAGTCGATGTTGTGTAGCATGAGTGGTTAAACTCGTTACATTTGGCACTACAGGCAAATAGTCTCGTAACATGTGGCGTTGCGAGCAGGGTAACTGTTCGCTCGTTACAATTGGCGTCGTCGGACAGGATGAATTCAACTAGACTTGCCGCTTTAGGCACCCATAGTCAACCTTGTGCATAACTGTGTTTAGTGTGTGTGTGAATTCGGACATTCAGGAACTGTGAAAATTGAGGAACGAGGAAAATTTTTTCATACACACACGGTAAGAAAGAACTCTTTTGTTTTACTTACGGAATACAATGTCTACTCTGGACGAGAAGCAGACCCATATAGTGGTCCTACCCAGAGAGTCCCACATTAACAAATTTTACGGGGACGGTGATCCAACTTTAACCAACAGGTTCAGTGAAGAGGTCAAAGCGGCCTGGGCCTCGAGAGGCATGTCACCAGAGGAAAGATTAAGACTGCTGATGGGCAGTATAGGAGAGACGGTTAGGGCAGAGGTCAAATGCCATGATAAAACCATCCAATCAGATCCGGATAAGGTGCTGGATCTGATTATGGAGACCTTTGGGGAGAGACGGTCGGGATCGCAACTGCTGGCAGGGTTCGTAGGCTTAAGGCAGAGAATGGCGGAGAGTGTGATGGAGTACTCACACCGGATGAACAGGGCCTTTGATTCGGTAAAGGTCAAAACACCTGACATTGATGTGCGCCTACTGAGGGACCATTTCATCGAGGGGCTAGCAACCCCGATCCTAAGAAGAGAGTTGAAAGAGGAGGTCCACAAAGACCCGCAGTTGACCTTCCTTCAGGTTAGGAACTCAGCGATCCGCAGGTCCGAGGATGAGGACCAATCGAACTGTTCGGTGGACAAAGTCTCTGTGCCTGAACAGAGACAACCCCCACCCACAGGGGCCGACACGATGGAGACCATGATGGCTCAACTGTTGGCCCACCTAGATAAGGTTGACCAACGTTTGGAGAGGTTAGAAAGCAGGTCAACAGCTGAGAATCAGGAAAAGAACGGGACAAAACAGAGACGGGTTGGACGGCCGCGTCCTGCCAAGCCATCACTCCAATGGACGGCCGACGGTCGACCAATTTGCTTGTCCTGTTCACAACCCGGACATATGGCACGGTACTGTCCGGAGAAACGATCGCCCTCTGTACGGCAGGTCAAGCCTACAGAGCGGCGAGGTAATGACTTAGTAAACAAAATGACACAGAAACACAGTAAGGAGAAAAAGAAAGGTAAAACACAACTAATGAAAAAAATGAACTGTGAAATGAACTGGGATGTTGAAAAGTTTCAAGTGAACAATTTGTTGGTAGAGAAAAATGATGATAAGAAGGAAATTGGTAGACTTAAGAATGAGATCTCAATGTTAACCAGGAAACTGGATAGGGAAAGGTCATGCAAATTAAAAGCACAGGAGAAATGTTCATCTTTAGAGTGTCTGTTATCGGAAGAAGTAAATAAAAATAGTAGACAACAGAACAGTGTTGGCAAACTAGAAGAAATGAAAGAGTCTCAAACAAGACTTGAAGAGAAATTATCCGATATTGAAAAAGAACTTCAAAGTACAGCAAGGCTGGGATCCATCGAACAGCGATGGGCAGCAGAATTGGCACTCGTTGACCTAGAGAGAAAACATCGCCCGGGGCGGTCCAATGGCAATGCGGACGCCTTATCAAGGAATCCTTACGAGAGACCGGGCGATGAGGAAGAAACGCTGACAGGAATATGTGAGGTCAGAGCGTCAACAGATATCCCTCATGGGGTGCAAGTGATGCAAAACGGGCAGACCGGGGTGGAGCACATATCCACAGAGCCCGGACATATGGACAGTAGTGATTTTAATTGCCTTAATCACAAAAAGATAAGAGATGCCCAGAGAACGGATAGTGGCTTACAACCGCTATTGAAATACGTCCAGGAACAAAAATTCCCAGGAAGAAGGGAAAGAGAACAATTTGGTCGAGAAACAAAGAAAATACTGAGTCAGTGGGACCGTCTCAGTATAGAGGATGGTGTTCTCATGCGGAGAATTCATGACCAAATTGATGGGACAATACACCAGGTGGTGGTGCCTGGACAGTTACGAGAAGAAGTGCTAAGGTTGGCACATGACAGGGCAGGACACCAGGGTCAGGACAGGACGCACAAAATTTTACGACGGAGGTGTTACTGGCCCAATATGGAAATGGAGGTCAAACGCCATTGTGAGGTTTGTGTGAGGTGTCAGCATGGGAAAATGCCAGTTGTCAAAATGAGACAGCCATCAGGACACCTACTAGCGACAAAACCACTAGAGATTGTGGCTATGGACTTTACGTCGTTGGAGCAATCATCGGATGGGACGGAACATGTGTTGGTAATGACTGATGTATTCACCAAATGGACTGTGGCGGTGCCCACACGAGATCAGACTGCCAAAACAGTGGCAAAGGTCTTAATAGAACATTGGTTCATCAGATATGGCATACCAAGACAATTACACTCTGACCAAGGAAGGGCTTTCGAGTCAGAAGTAATTAACCAACTGTGCAGCCACTACGGGATCAACAAATCTAGAACAACCACATTTAATCCGAAAGGAAACGGACAGTGTGAACGGTTCAACCGTAGCATGCATGATTTGCTGCGTACCCTAGAACCTGAACAGAAAAAACGTTGGCCTGATTTTCTCCCAGAGTTGGTATATCTATACAACTGCACCCCCCATGCCACAACCGGCTTTGCGCCACACATGTTGCTGTTCGGACGGGAGGCTCGACTCCCTCTTGATTTGTTCCTAGGAAAAAGGGAGAGTATGACTGGCTCATACACCGCACTGGAATATGTGAATGAACATATGAGAAGAATTAGAGAAATGTACAGGGTAGTACAGGAAAGACTAGAACATGAAGCACGGCGAAGGGAACCGCCGGTACAGACAAAGGACCCGCCACTCAAACTGAACGACAGGGTATTACTGCGTAGCCACCCGTTAGGCAGAAACAAAATCCACGATCTCTGGGGACAGGAGTTATGGCAAGTCGTGGAGATGCCTAAAGTAGCAGGTGGCCCCTTTAAGATAAGACCCATCGATCACGCCAAACCGGATCGGTGGGCGAATATTGCTCAATTAAAGAAATATTGTCATAGTCAAGAAGAGCAGTTACACACAAGGAAATCCAAGACAATTAGGGAACCGGAAACTATAACGGAAATTCACATACCCATCCCGGAACCATATCACCATCAACAGAACAACCGCGATACACAAGTGGAGGATAACGGCAACAAAGAGGATCCCGGTCCCTCCAAAAGCAGAGAGACAATAGACCATCAGATAAGTGGTCCGCGGAGAAGTTTGAGAAACAGAAAGAATACGAAATTTTTTGTCAGCAACCATCAAGTCTTTCATGGTCGCGCTGGTATGAGAACAGACGGTTCAAAAAGCTATAAAAGTGAACTGGTGAAGGCACCAAACGAAAAGGGTGGATGTGAATTCTAGAACTGTTTTGTGTCTCAGGAAGATGATGTAGACACAGTTGATATGTGAGATAGGTATGGCTGTCAGTCGTATACGAATGGGACGACGTGGACAGTGAGTGGGACAATAAAAATTTTTTTACGATTGTGCGATTGACTATGGAGGAGTGCACCTGCCAGGCGTTGTTTGTGGTTGAAAACACACAAAAAAAGGCAGGGGTGGATGTAACTAGGGTAGGCCTAGCCACTAGTTACAAATCTGATGCAACTGATAACGAACGATAAGCCGAGACGCAGTATTACAGTCTGATGCAACTGATAGCAGGTGGCTTATTAGATCGGACTGATAACAATCTCAAAGCCAACGCGTGCTATTTTGGGAAACGGTACGAGGGGATGCAGACGGCCTGTCAACTTTGATTGATAGGATGCAGATGTTTATTAAACGGACTGTACGTTAGAACTGCGCAACTAGTAGTCGGAGACATCGAGTACAAGTATCGATTACGGAGGAATACAAGTACGAATACGAGTACGAATACAAGGGATAAATAGGAGGGGACGGCTGAACTCGCGGCTCTTCCCTTTTCGATCGCCCGCTCTCTTCATCGCTCGCTTTAGATCAGTCAGTCTGTGTGACATATCAAGTTGGTTATATTGTGTTAAGAAGGACAATAGACATGTGGATTCAGTTATATGAAGCCTAGTGAGGACTGTTAGGGGTCAGTTGATTCAGACTATTATTGTGAAGCATTCCTGTTGATTCATTGTGTTATTTTGAAGCATTTCTTGATTCATGTAATAAAAGGATCAATAGCGAACCTGCATCTTCGAGTATTTCTACTGTAGTCGATGTTGTGTAGCATGAGTGGTTAAACTCGTTACATTTGGCACTACAGGCAAATAGTCTCGTAACATGTGGCGTTGCGAGCAGGGTAACTGTTCGCTCGTTACATATATACACACATACACACATACAAACATACCAGCTATAGACAGGACCCTGAGAAAATATAGCGCAGGTCAAATTGAGACCATACACATATACACACATACACATACACACATACAGACAAACATACCAGCTATAGACAGGACCCTGAGGTTTCTCATAGAGAAAATATGGTGCAGGCCAAAGTAAACCCATACACACACACACACACATAACCACATACAGACAAACATACCAGCTATAGACAGGACCCTGAGGTTTCTCATAGAGAAAATATGGTGCAGGCCAAAGTAAACCCATACACACACATACACACATACACACACAGACAGATAAACATACCAGCTATAGACAGGACCCTGAGGTTTCTCATAGAGAAAATATGGTGCAAGCCAAAGTAAACCCATACACACATACACACACAGACAGACAAACATACCAGCTATAGACAAGACCCTTAGGTTTCTCATAGAGAAAATATGGTGCAGGCCAAAGTAAACCCATACACACACACACATACAGACATACACACATACAGACAAACAAACATACCAGCTATAGACAAGACTCTTAGGTTTCTCATAGAGAAAATATGGTGCAGGCCAAAGTAAACCCATACACACACACATACAGACATACACACATACAGACAAACAAACATACCAGCTATAGACAAGACCCTTAGGTTTCTCATAGAGAAAATATGGTGCAGGCCAAAGTAAACCCACACACACATACACACATACAGACAAACATACCAGCTATAGACAAGAAACTGAGGTTTCTCATAGAGAAAATATGGCGCAGGCCAAAGTAAACCCACACACACACACACGCACACACACACAGACAAACATACCAGCTATAGACAGGACCCTGAGGTTTCTCATAGAGAAAATATGGTGCAGGCCAAAGTAAACCCATACACACACACAAACACACATACAGACAAACATACCAGCTATAGACAGGACCCTGAGGTTTCTCATAGAGAAAATATGGTGCAGGCCAAAGTAAACCCATACACACACATACACACATACAGACAAACATACCAGCTATAGACAGGACCCTGAGGTTTCTCATAGAGAAAATATGGTGCAGACCAAAGTAAACCCATACACACACATACACACATACAGACAAACATACCAGCTATAGACAGGACCCTGAGGTTTCTCATAGAGAAAATATGGTGCAGACCAAAGTAAACCCATACACACACATACACACATACAGACAAACATACCAGCTATAGACAGGACCCTGAGGTTTCTCATAGAGAAAATATGGTATAGGCCAAAGTAAACCCACAGACACACATACATACACACATACAGACAAACATACCAGCTATAGACAGGACCCTGAGGTTTCTCATAGAGAAAATATGGTGCAGGCCAAAGTAAACACACACACACACATACAAATACACACAGACACACATACACACATACAGACAAACATACCAGCTATAGACAGGACCCTTAAGTTTCTCATAGAGAAAATATGGTGCAGGCCAAAGTAAACCCATACACACACATACTCACATACAGACACATACACACATACACACATACAGACAAACATACCAGCTATAGACAGGACCCTGAGGTTTCTCATAGAGAAAATATGGTGCAGGCCAAAGTAAACACAAAGACACACATACACACACACAGACACACATACAGACAAACATACCAGCTATAGACAGGACCCTGAGGTTTCTCATAGAGAAAATATGGTGCAGGCCAAAGTAAACACACACACACATACACAGACACACATACACACATACAGACAGACAGATAAACATACCAGCTATAGACAGGACCCTTAAGTTTCTCATAGAGAAAATATGGTGCAGGCCAAAGTAAACACAAAGACACACATACACAGACACACATACACACATACAGACAAACATACCAGCTATAGACAAGACTCTTAGGTTTCTCATAGAGAAAATATGGTGCAGGCCAAAGTAAACCCATACACACACATACACACAGACACACATACAGACAAACATACCAGCTATAGACAGGACCCTGAGGTTTCTCATAGAGAAAATATGGTGCAGGCCAAAGTAAACCCATACACACACACACACATACACACACACACAGACACACACACATACACACATAGAGACAAACATACCAGCTATAGACAGAACCCTAAGGTTTCTCATAGAGAAAATATGGTGCAGGCCAAAGTCCCCGACCTGGACACACCACCGGATGTACAGGCGGGTCAGTGACGTCATGGTGGACACGTAGCCGATCCCGATGTCCGTGATGTGAGTGCATCTGTGGGGAGAAACAATTCAATCAAAGAGCTGTCAATCATTCTCTCTCACTCACCCACCCTCCGCCCATCCTCCCTCAAAGCTCGGGGACTGAGTCATGAGGTTCTCGATAGATTTGTTTAGTACAGTCGCAGATTTAATCATACGTTACTTACAGATACTAACGGTATACGCTAAATATATGTAATATATATAAATATACATTTATTTATTTTTATTTATATATAGGCATGTATATAGGCATATAATATATTCTAGAGAGGAAGAGAGGGGACTGCAAGGCGCGCTTGCAGCTTGTTTTCTAACGTCTCCTAGAAGAGAATTATATATATAGATAATATATATATATATATATATATATATATATATATATATATATATATATATATATATATATATATATATATATATATATATGTGTGTGTGTGTGTGTGTGTACATAACCATATATATGTATATTTATAGCCATACTTAAAGTGCTGTAAACGTCCAGCGTGAGAGAGCTAAGATCGATATTTTTAGCGGCTCTTTTGGTCACTAGAGAATTGTTCTTAAGGTCAATTGTCTTGTGTTTTTGGGTGATCTTTTATCGGTGTGGTCAGTTTGTCTTGTGTGGTTATCTAGTCAGTTGTTTTGTGTTGTTGTGTGATCTTTTATCTATGTGGATTTGTGGTCAGTTGTCTTGTGTGGTTGTGTGGTAGGTTGTCTAAGAGTTGTTGTGTGGTCAGTTATCTATATTGGTTGTATGGTCAGTTACCTTGTGTGGTTGTGTGGCCAGTTGCCTTGTGTGGTTGTGTGGCCAGTTGCCTTGTGTGGTTGTGTGGCCAGTTGCCTTGTGTGGTTGTATGGTCAGTTACCTTGTGTGGCCAGTTGCCTTGTGTGGTTGTGTGGTCAGTTACCTTGTGTGGCCAGTTGCCTTGTGTGGCCAGTTGTCTTGTGTGGCCAGTTGTCTTGTGTGGTTGTATGGTCAGTTACCTTGTGTGGTTGTGTGGCCAGTTGCCTTGTGTGGTTGTGTGGCCAGTTGCCTTGTGTGGTTGTATGGTCAGTTACCTTGTGTGGCCAGTTGCCTTGTGTGGTTGTGTGGCCAGTTGCCTTGTGTGGCCAGTTGCCTTGTGTGGTTGTATGGTCAGTTACCTTGTGTGGTTGTGTGGCCAGTTGCCTTGTGTGGTTGTGTGGCCAGTTGCCTTGTGTGGCCAGTTGCCTTGTTTGGTTGTGTGGCCAGTTGCCTTGTGTGGTTGTGTGGCCAGTTGCCTTGTGTGGTTGTGTGGCCAGTTGCCTTGTGTGGCCAGTTGCCTTGTTTGGTTGTGTGGCCAGTTGCCTTGTGTGGTTGTGTGGCCAGTTGCCTTGTGTGGTTGTATGGTCAGTTACCTTGTGTGGCCAGTTGCCTTGTGTGGTTGTATGGTCAGTTACCTTTTGTGGCCAGTTGCCTTGTGTGGCCAGTTGCCTTGTGTGGTTGTATGGTCAGTTACCTTGTGTGGTTGTGTGGCCAGTTGCCTTGTGTGGTTGTGTGGCCAGTTGCCTTGTGTGGTTGTATGTTCAGTTACCTTGTGTGGCCAGTTGCCTTGTGTGGTTGTGCGGCCAGTTGCCTTGTGTGGCCAGTTGCCTTGTGTGGCCAGTTGTCTTGTGTGGTTGTATGGTCAGTTACCTTGTGTGGTTGTGTGGCCAGTTGCCTTGTGTGGTTGTGTGGCCAGTTGCCTTGTGTGGTTGCATGGTCAGTTACCTTGTGTGGCCAGTTGCCTTGTGTGGTTGTGCGGCCAGTTGCCTTGTGTGGTTGTGTGGCCAGTTGCCTTGTGTGGTTGTGTGGCCAGTTGCCTTGTGTGGCCAGTTGCCTTGTGTGGTTGTATGGTCAGTTACCTTGTGTGGTTGTGTGGCCAGTTGCCTTGTGTGGTTGTGTGGCCAGTTGCCTTGTGTGGCCAGTTGCCTTGTGTGGTTGTGTGGCCAGTTGCCTTGTGTGGTTGTGTGGCCAGTTGCCTTGTGTGGCCAGTTGCCTTGTGTGGTTGTGCGGCCAGTTGCCTTGTGTGGTTGTGTGGCCAGTTGCCGTGTGTGGTTGTGTGGCCAGTTGCCATGTGTGGCCAGTTGCCTTGTGTGGTTGTGTGGCCAGTTGCCTTGTGTGGTTGTGTGGCCAGTTGCCTTGTGTGGTTGTGTGGCCAGTTTCCTTGTGTGGTTGTGTGGCTAGTTGCCTTGTGTGGTTGTGTGGCCAGTTGCCTTGTGTGGCCAGTTGCCTTGTGTGGCCAGTTGCCTTGTGTGGTTGTGTGGCCAGTTGCCTTGTGTGGTTGTGTGGCCAGTTGCCGTGTGTGGTTGTGTGGCCAGTTGCCTTGTGTGGCCAGTTGCCTTGTGTGGTTGTGTGGCCAGTTGCCTTGTGTGGCTGTGTGGCCAGTTACCTTGTGTTTCATACGTATACACGATGTGTGATAAAGTATCTAAACATCATTCTTTTTACACATTTCAATTGATAAACCTACATTTACTTCGGCGTATTGATAGACTTTTCTGCCAAGTTAACTTAAAGTAAACAATCCTCTTAGACCTAGCGCTACATTGGGCAGATGAAGTAGAGTTCATGTTTCTTGACCTCGGCATATGAAGAAAATGTGTGGTCAGCACTTTTCCCAGTCGCATTTACTTTTTCTAACATGAGTTAGGTACCCATCAAATCTGGGTGGACTCAGGGACGTTCTACTGACTTGAACCCGGATTCGAACTCGAGACATTCGGATAAGGAGCCTTGCGTTCTACTGCCAAGATCTTCTTAAATTTAGATGGATGCTATTTCAACCCCCGCATTACACCTAACCTTATATGTATTTAAAATAAAAATTAAAACATTATCTCCCCTTATACCGACTCTGTAGTTGCTCACATGCACGTGCGTGTGAGCACTACTCACCTGTCCAGCACGAGCTCCTCCAAAATGCCAAGGTCACAGGCCACGTACTCCAGCGAGGCGTCGGTGACGCGCGAGCACCAGGAGAGGTCAAGGCTCTTGAGCTTCTTCATGTTCTCGGCGATGATCTCGACCCCGTCGTCCGTGACCTTGGTGCAGCCAGAGAGGCTGAGCACGGTCAGGTTGGGGAGGGCGTGGATGATGTTGACCACGCCGTGGTTGGTGATCTCCCAACACGACTTGAGCCGGAGGATGCGCAGCGAGGCGTTGAGCTTCGAGTCGAACAGCGCCAGCCCGTTGTCAGTCACGTGATAGGCCTGCAGGTTCAGCTCGTGCAGGGCCGGAAGTAGCTGCGCGATGGCGCCGATGGTATCGTCGGCGATGTGGATACAATCCGTAATCGTCAGGACGATTATCCGCGGGTTGAGACACGCCCACAAACCGGATCCGGTCACCTCGTTGCAGTTCGAGAGTTCGAGCTTGTTCAAGCACGGCAGCTTGCGAATCAGATTCTCCAGCGCGCTGTCGGTGATGTTGGAGCACCGCAAGCTGACGGAGCGAATGGATTTCTTGCTAGAAGGCGTGTTGTTGATGAACTCGATGATGTCTTTATCCGTCGCGGCGACGAAGCAGACCTGATCGAAGCCGCGGATCTGAAAATGTTCGAAGCAGATTTTTTTCTTGGATCCGTCGTTGTTCCAGTCTTTGAAGTTGATGACCGGCATGAGGCCGAGCCAGTAGACGCTCTGGTAGAGGACGTTCTTCCACTTCTTGCAGACGCGGCACAGGACGCGCCGGTCGTCGTAGGAGAAGTAGAAGAAAAACCGCGAGAGAAAAGTCTCCTCCTGCATCAGCTCGCTGATCGTTTCCGGTTTCGTTTCCCATTTCTGTCCCGTCATGCTCATGTTCAGCTTCCGGATCCGGTTGGCGATGCCGGCTTTGGGCGAGCCGATGAGTTTTGTCGGGGTGAAAATGCTGTCTTTGGTGGGCCGTTTGAGCCGGCCGTTTTGGCAGGTGGGTGTGGAGTCGCCGTTCGTGCCTTTACTCCCCGGGGGGTCGGTGTTTGGCGAGTGGGCATTCTGCGCCGACCACGCCAAAGGCGAGGATTTCATCTGTGAGGGTAGCGACGAGGATTGAGTTTTCGTTTCCGGCGACGTCGCGTGTTTATTATCTCCCGTGACCGGGTGTTCCACCCGCGGCGGGACAGAACCGGAAGCCGGAAAAAGCCGGGAAACGGCCGTGGCCACGGCGTTTTCTTCCGTGTGAACCACGTGCTTGGCGTTTCGGGTCACCGGTTTGGGGTCCTCGCTGGGGAGCCCTTTCTCGTGCTGGGGCCCCCCGCCCTGGGGCTGGTCTCTGTGGAACCGAAGTCCCCGGATTCCGTTGGAGATCTCCATGTACGCCTTCCGTATGGTCGACATGACGCGATCGATGTGTCAGTCGCGCGCCGGCCGTTGCATGTCCGAGCCCTCGTGACGTCTGCCGCTCCCGTGGGCAATGAACGGTTCACTTCCGGCGAGTGGTGATGACGTAGTTCCTGTTCATCGTCCGCTGAACGACCTGTGGAAAGAGAAGAGAACACAATGGAGGACGGAATTGAAATGTTCTAGAACTTCTAGAGGACAGAAACGGCGTTCTATGAAATATGTGGAGCAAATGGAACACCAGCATGAGAGGACTGGTGTGTTCTAGAACATTAGAAAGACAGGATTAGAGTGTTCTATAACATCAGGAGGAATGGATTTTAGTATCTAGAATTTCTAGAGGACAGAACCGACGTGTTCTAAGATATGGGGAGAAAATGGCGTGGAGTTCTATGGACCACCAGCAGGACAGGACTGGGGTGTTCTAGAACATTAGTAAGACATGTATGGAATGTTCTAGAACATTATGAAGAAGTTCTGGAATGTTCTAGAACAATAGGAGGACATGTCTGAAATGTCCTAGAACATTATGAAGAAGTTCTGGAATGTTCTAGAACATTAGGAGGACATGTCTGGAATGTTCTAGAACATTAGGAGGACATGTCTGGAATGTTCTAGAACATTCGGAGGACATGTCTGGAATATTCTAGAACATTCGGAGGACATGTCTGGAATGTTCTAGAACATTCGGAGGACATGTCTGGAATGTTCTAGAACATTATAAAGACAGGACTGGTGTGTTCTAGAACATAAGAAGAACTGGACTGGAATGTTCTAGAACATTAGGAGGACAGAGCGTTAAAAAGATCATCGGATCTACGACAAGGAACCCACGCGGGCACCAGCAGACGGGAAATGTGTTATCCTGGTTCCACGGTGGCTCAGTGTGACGTCACGAGGGGGGTGGGGGAGGGTGGATAATATTTTGTGTGTGTCTATGTCCCAGCTAGATCGTAATGAAAAGAACAGACAGCCTCCCCGCCAGGCAATTAGCGGGCACGCGACTTATCTTCTACCTCGTCAAATCAGATGTACCGTTATGTCAGTTGGTGTGTGGGGGGCGGGAGGGGGGAGTAATCGCATGATATGTCAATGAGTATGTCGGTATGTCGGTTGGTATGTAGGTAATAGCAGGTAGTATGTCTGTCGGTATGTCGGTAAGTATGTCCCTTGGTAGGTCACTTGGTATGTCGATATGTCAGTTGGTATGTCGGTTTATATGTTAGTCGGTATGTAAGTCGGGTTTAAAGTGACAGTTAATATTCCAAACTTTGTATCTATTTTCTGATGCTCATAAAATCAATCGGTATGGTAGTCGGTGTGGAAGTTGGTGTTGTAGATGGTGTGGTAGTCGGTGTGGTAGTTGGTGTGTAAGTAGGTGTGGTAGTCGGTGTGGAAGTTGGTGTTGTAGATGGTGTGGTAGTCGGTGTGGTAGTTGGTGTGTAAGTAGGTGTGGTAGTTGGTGTGGAAGTTGGTGTTGTAGTCGATGTGGTAGTTGGTGTGGCAGTCGGTATGGTAGTTGGTGTGGCAGTAGATGTTGTAGTTGGTGTGGTAGTTTGTGTGGCAGTAGATGTTGTAGTTGGTGTGGTAGTTTGTGTGGCAGTAGATGTTGTAGTTGGTGTGGTAGTTTGTGTGGCAGTAGATGTTGTAGTTGGTGTGGCAGTATTGTGTGGTAGTTGGTGTGGTAGTGGGTGTTGTAGTCGGTGTGGTAGTCGGTGTGGTAGTTGGTGTGGTAGTTGGTGTGGCAGTAGATGTTGTAGTTGGTGTGGTAGTTTGTGTGGCAGTAGATGTTGTAGTTGGTGTGGTAGTTTGTGTAGCAGTAGATGTTGTAGTTGGTGTGGTAGTTGGTGTGGTAGTTGGTGTGGCAGTCGGTGTGGTAGTTGGTGTGGCAGTAGATGTGTCAGTAGACTGTCACTAGCTATCAAACGTTGTCTGTCACTGACTGTCTGTTTGGCTCAGCCCATGTCAGACCGACATCAAACGCCTTCGACCTCACTACAGCAACCGATCGTTTCCGTCAGACCTAAACAGAGACGCAAATTTTGATTGGCTTGATGGTAAGTCACACACGATTTGATTGGATGGTAGGAAGTCACTCGTGCCATTTACAACCACTTAGCCGAGCCCAAGGTCGGGAAACAACTTGATCGATGTCTGAAGAAGGTGCAGCCACATAGGTAGACCAGCCAACATAGAAGGTAGACGGTAAATTCTCGCAGGCTCCCAGTACACACAGGGTTAACCTTAGGTTACGCCATCAAGTAGTTTAACATCTACACATACATCATAATTAGTTTTGAAACATCAATGTTACATTCCCGGACAAATGTAAAAACATCCCACAAACCATTTTAGATTGAACATAGTAAAATAGCTCTCCCACATTAGTACGGTTTCATCATGCACAGTTAAACATTCCATTTCATACCCCAGTTAAACATTCCATACCCCAGTTAAACATTCCATACCCCAGTTAAACATTCCATACATTAGTAAACATCCAATACATCAGTAAAACATTCTATATCCCAGTAAAACATTCCATACCCCAGTAAAACATTCCATACTTCAATAAAACATTCCATACCCCAGTAAAACATTCCATACTTCAATAAAACATTCCATACCCCAGTAAAACATTCCATACTTCAATAAAACATTCCATACCCCAGTAAAACATTCCATACTTCAATAAAACATTCCATACCCCAGTAAAACATTCCATACCCCAGTAAAACATTCCATACCCCAGTAAAACATTCCATACCCCAGTAAGACATTCCATACTTCAATAAAACATTCCATACCCCAGTAAGACATTCCATACTTCAATAAAACATTCCATACCCCAGTAAGACATTCCATACTTCAATAAAACATTCCATACCCCAGTAAGACATTCCATACTTCAATAAAACATTCCATACCCCAGTAAGACATTCCATACCCCAGTAAAACATTCCATACCCCAGTAAAACATTCCATACCCCAGTAAAACATTACATACTTCAATAAAACATTCCATACCCCAGTAAAACATTACATACTTCAATAAAACATTCCATACCCCAGTAAGACATTCCATACTTCAATAAAACATTCCATACCCCAGTAAAACATTACATACTTCAATAAAACATTCCATACCCCAGTAAAACATTCCATACTTCAATAAAACATTCCATACCCCAGTAAAACATTCCATACTTCAATAAAACATTCCATACCCCAGTAAAACATTCCATACCCCAGTAAAACATTACATACTTCAATAAAACATTCCATACCCCAGTAAAACATTCTATACCCCAGTAAAACATTCCATACTCCAGTAAAACATTCTATACCCCAGTAAAACATTCCATACCCCAGTAAAACATTCCATACTTCAATATAACATCCATTTCGTCAGTCAAACATCCACTGCTAAAGTAAAATATTCCCTTTCTTTAGCAAAACATTACCTACTCAGCTGAACATCCCCTATAGAAGAAAAACATCCCCATACTTGAGTAAAACACCCGTCTACAACAGTAAAAAAATTACCATCATATAAAAACATCTACACAGATCACTAAAACATCAGCAAAACATCCCCACAACGGTAAGCCGCCCCCCACACCAACAAACCACCCCAATCTTCAGTAATACATCACAAATTCACAACCACACATCAAAGATACATCCCCACGTTACAAAACAAAAGTTCAGACGGGACTATTCTTTACCCCCACACAAATGACCATACTATTTCCCCCCCCCCCCACCACCCCGGGACCAGAGTTTCTTTCAGACACCTCTTCGGCGTGTGAACCCCACCCCCCCCCCCCCCCTCTTCCTCGAAACAAATCTACTGCCAACTCTTAAACCGAACAAAATGGAAAGAAAAAATACATATGATTTAAATTGAAAGTATATACTTTTACCAGTCACCTTCCCCCCCCCCCCCCCGATAAAATTGCCTAAAAGAAACCCTGCCCGATATTATTTGGTTACAGCCACCAAAAGTGCATCAGGCGACCCCACTGTCTAACCTGTGAAGTGACCCCCTTCCACCCCCCCCCCCAGCTCTTTATACCTGAATGAATTTTTTTTATGTCGGGCATCGTTTAGCCGACCTGCGCTCTAATTAACAACATGGATAACCAGGCATGTCTCCCAATCTCCAGCGGGAACCACGTGACCTAGTACACCCATCTGTACATCATTATTCACTTGTCCCCCAACTCTTGATCATCCTGGGTATCGATTCATCGAGTACCAGTATCGCTGGGTTGGCATATCCGATTTCGCGTTAAATATTCACTTCTTTTTTTTTCTAATTTCTCCTGTCGGTATTGAGTATCGGCCTGTTGGTATCGCTGGGGGCGGGCGGTTTTGGGGACATTGCCAAGTGCTGGCCATAAAGTAGGGAAATGACGTCGTCTGCAGGCCGTGTCGTCGATACAAGTTTGGTGTGTGTGTGGGTGTGTATGTGTGTATGTGTGTGTGTGTGTTGTGGGTTTATGGGGGTTGAGGGTGGGAGGGTGGGGTATGATGTGTGTGTTGTTATGTTATTGGGTTGAGGGTGGTTAGTTTGTAGGGTGTGTGTCGTTGGTTTATTGGGTTGAGGGGATGGAGGTATGGTGTGTGTGTGTTGTTATTTAATGGGGTTGAGGGGGGTGGGGTATGGGGTATGGTGTGTGTTTTGGGTTTTGAGATAGGCGAGGGGGAAGAGTTTATGGGGTCGAGTAGGTTAGGAGTGTTGTGTAAGTGATGGAGTGGGGTGGGGGAATTATGAGTTTATGGGGTTGTGTGAGGAAAGTGTTGTGAGTTTATGGGGTTGTGTGAGATGTAAGTTGTTGTGAGTTTATGGGGTTGTGTGAGGGGTGTGTTGTGAGTTTATGGGGTTGTGTGAGGAAAGTGTTGCTGTGAGTTTATGGGGTTGTGTGAGGGGTGTGTTATGAGTTTATGGGGTTGTGTGAGGGGTGTTGTGAATTTATGGGGGTTGTGTAAGGGGTGTGTTGTTGTGAGTTTATGGGGTTGTGTAAGGGGTGTGTTTTGTGAGTTTATGGGGTTGTGTGAGGGGTGTGTTGCGAGTTTATGCAGATAATGTAAGTGAGAGATGTGTCTCTGTATGCAGCTATCGTGGCAAAA